AAATTGTATTTTCAAAATATAAGCATACGGTTTCACTGATCATAAGAATATGTTCCCTTGGCTTATTATCTCAAGCGATGCTCGGAATGATTAGGTGTAAAGCGTCCACGGTTGGCCTTTTCAAGTCCGCCGTCAAACCCCAGGGCTCAGCCCTGGACAGGCGGGGGAAACTGCCAAGCTGGAGTACGGTAAGGGCAGAGGGAATTGTAGGTGGAGCGGCGAGACGCGGCCTGACCGAAAAACGAGGAAAACGGTCTTTCAACACTCGATGGTTTCCTGCTAAATGTACCTTGACTTTGAGGAGCTTAAATTGAGACAAACCAAATTCTAGAATGTGTTGACTGAGCTAATCCTTACAAAAACAGCAGGGTGCCAAATGTAATCATCACACTTATGAACAAAATTTAGACCCTGAAGTGGAGGGTTGACTATTGACCAAGCTGGGTCCAATCCCGCTGGCAGTGACATCGTTGTCATCTTTTGCCTTTTGTTCCTTCCTTCTGAATCGCATCCATCTGTCGAGCTGTCAGCAGAGCAGTCCCAACAAATCCGCAAAGATTATTGCCTTAATCTATTCCCATCATTCGTTAATCTTCCCCGCTTAATCAAATCCTTGATATCGACTTGGCTTACGTCGCCCATGAATCTAACACACCATGAATGCAACCACAGGGAAACAGAGGCGATGCATTGCGTATTTTAATTAAGAGTGGTTAATTATATCGATAGATGTCGCCGTCGGTGCGAACTCTACGTGTGAATTGAGGCGATAGCTAGCTTCATTGGTTCCGTGAATGATTGATCGATTTCCGAACCCGTGTTCGGCTTTGGTAAATTTCGGACCGGGATATCGAGAGCTCTCGCGATATTTGATTAGCTAGAGTGATATCGTATCATTTTTGTATATATTCCGATTCAATTAGCTTTAGGGTTAATACTACGAAAAACCCCAAACTGGTATACCACTGACAAATTTACCATAAATTAATTTTTTAGCCACCAAAAACTACAAAACTGGTACATTTGTGATAAATTTACAATCCGTTAAATTGGATTAATACTACGAAAAATCACAAATTGGTATACCTGTGACAAACGGAGGGTAAAACCCCAAACGGGTACATCTGTCAATTACTAAGTGTCATCCAACTTAGAAATTTAACGGTAAAATTTAACGGAAACTAGCAGAGGATCAAATTGTCACAGGTGCAGCTTTATATAGATTTGTAGGTTCTTTTGTTTGTGTTTTTCTTAAAGTTTTTTTTTATTGCTTCGCCAACTTTGTGGACTTTGTATTTAGGGTTTCTCTAACAAAAGCTCATACTTCATCATTTAATACTCACTCTTCCTCGTCAAATTCAAAGTATGTGCCGGCTTGGTCACGATGTGCTCATGAATGAGTTTTGATTAAATTAAATTCAACAAATTAGTTCGCTTAGGAGCGTATAATCATCGAGAGCGCGTTTTTTTTTCTAGGTTCCTCGACCATTATTATTTATTATATCATTTTAGATAGAAAGTGCCATCTTAAAAAATTACTATTATATCGAGACAGTGTCAAGCGATGCCATTTCGTGCTTTCTCGGCATAAGACTGTAAACGGATCTCTCCTGGACATTAGTAAATATGTTTCTTCATTTCCTGGTGAATTTCCTTAGATTGACATAATTAATAGTCTCATTCAGAAGGTAATTAAAAAAAATAAAATATATTCGTTTCCTCACTTTTTGCTTGTTGAATAGCCACTTATAATAATTACCATGAAAAATGGCCGTCGTTCACAAAATGTTTCCTTCACAAGACAATCCAAATATTTGTTAGAATATTTAAATATTAAATTATATCATGATTATTAGCTAAATTATTTAGACAAGTCGACAGCAACCTCATATTTTTCACTTGACATCAAATATATCGGGACATACCAATAAGTTGGAATATCTAATTTGTCTCCCAATTTGTAATCAAACTCCTCGGCTTAATTTCTCAATCTAGATTTAGGACTATGTATGGGTGGGAAATGTTAGAACTTATTTTCTTCGATAAATAGAAATGTTAAAACCTTTAAAATAATAAATCATGTTTCGATCTAATGGTTTCAATGGTAAAAGTCCAATTTTGATCTCCAAACTTACACGTTTTTTCCCCTTTTATTTTTCATATGTGTAATCGGGTCCTTGAACTTACGTAAATATTCTGATCGATTTCCTCAAATTCCACATCTGATCAATCGGAGCCGACACTCTGTCAAAGCCAGCAAGATCTAACACCGAGAAACTTTTTGTCATTGTACCTATGGAAAATCAACTAATGCGTGGGACTAAAGCTCTCCAGGAATGAAGATCACAATCATATGCACGATGAGATTTCAAGAATGTGAAGTCGGCCTGCACTAGGGCTCTCCACATAGTATTATTGTCGGCCTGACAGACACGTCAGCTCCAACAAGCTGAATTTGAAGTCGAAGAGACTTGATTAGAATAGTTAAGCGACACTTCGAGGACATGATTAGACAAATTAAAAGTTCCAGGACTTGATCGGAAGAATTTCATAAATTTGGGGGCCCGAAGTGGAGTTTTACCTGGTTTAAACTTTTATGTAAGTTGCCAATTATGTTAGAGTTGCCACATCATTAAACCCATGAAGTTCTTCCTGAGAAAAGCAGTTTCCTTCTAGTGATTATATATAACATCAGAAAGATGCTGCTGAGGAAGAAGGTGGATAATGGTGGAGTGGTTAGAAGTTGGTCTCCACTCTCCACAAAAGATAGATCGAAAGACTTAGTGCATTTGACGCTGGGAGAGGTTACAATTCAATTGCAATTACTATGCAAACTAAAATCAGCTACTCTTATGGTGATTGGCATACTTATGACTCATGTAGACTGATATTTTGAAAATTTCCCATACATGTAAATTGAATCGTAGCACGTATGACGAAGAGTTGTGGTATGAAATATAATGACAATTATAGTGGATATGATCTAAGTTAAACATTCATGATCAATCTTTGGTTTCTTGAACATCACATCTACAGACCGGAATTGGGAAAGAACCAACTAATGAAACCTTCAGTTCAGCTGGAGAGGAAGTAAAGATAGATTATGAATCCTATTAAATGCATGGTTTTACTTTGGATGGAAAGGTGAGAGTGTTTCAACATGCATTGAGAGAGATGAAACTTCTAAGACAACAACAGCTGCAATCTTAAAATTAATCTTACAATAGTCGCTACTTTCTTCGGAAAAATTCGGTTGTTGGAAACACACACAAAAAGCACCTCATTCTTTTGTGGCTCATCAAGAAAAATAACATTGAAATCAAAGGGCCTTGCCCGAAAATAAAGATAAGATCAAAGAGTGTGAAATCGAAATAGAGTAAACAAATAGAGAAACCACTAAGATTATCATGGTTCAAAACCAAGACTTTCATATACACTACGCAGAAGTTTTTCGAGATACAATCCTGGAATATATAGACATAAGTTTAGTTGAAAGGATTCGGTCAGTTGGAGAGTGAACAATGTCTCTCAGCTATAGGATTCACAGCAATGACAAGAGTACTGCGCAATTTCTTCCCTATGATCAGCACAACCCATTACTTAATGATGTATAAAAAGAGTGTTTTGAACATAATTCTTACGTAGCTAAAGCTGTAAGTTTTGTGAGTTTTCCAGCTGCCAACCACTCAGTTTTGGTCTTGAAAATCCAGACAATGTGCACAAACACAGCACCAGCACACGAACAAAGCATTAAAAGCAGGTCCAGGATTCATCAAGCAGTCACATAAACTTTGTACTAACTTCTAATACCAATTCAATCCTTACAAACTTGTTCTTGCCCAGAATAGGAGATAAAATCATGGAATAACCTAACATAACCAATTCATGTATCATGCATGCTTGTGTTGATCTCTCTCTCTTTCTCTCTCTCTCTCTCCGTCTCTCTATGTGCGCACATGTGGACAATAGCCACCCAAGGTTCAAGGAAAGGGTATCGTGTAAATAAGTCATCTCTTATCAACTCTATGTCTTGTTTTACTCACTATCTTCAAATTAGGTTTGTACCTGTGAGCGATTTTCTTTTCCCCAACCTATTTCCTGAACTACAAGATCTAGCTAGACAACCAAATCTCAGGCTTCTGTTCGCCACATCTGCACTGCATATTTTATAACTTTCCGTCTTAAGCTAGCTTCACATAGCAAGATAGAAGGTACATGATCATTAGCGAAAATCCGAACTCATTGTACCAAACATGTATAGTGTTCTAAAAGACAAAAAACAACAACCAATGTGTGAGGTAAATTAGCGAAAAGATAATTCCTCGTGGAGGAACCTAATCCTCCATCAGATTATAGCCCCACATACATATCATCTTGCAGACTAACAAAAGAGGGCAGAAAAGAAACAAAAGAAATTCAAATTCGTTATCAGATTTAAGATAAAAATAACATTTTGGCAGCCTAACAAGGGAAATATCAGCATATCTTAACTGAATTATATGCATAAACACACCAAATTTCATGTGGAATGTTGATAAATCGATGATCTTAAATGCATCTTAAGTTTACTTGTTTGGTTTGTCAATTATAACCAAAACCCAATTCCCCAACTAAAAGGCATGGAAAAAAAATTCACACAAACCATTATGATTAGGTACATGAGTTTCTTTACTTTCTATCTAACTGATTATTCCATCAAGCAAATTAGGGTTTCTCTATAAATTCAATGACATGTGACAGAAGGATCAAGTTTACAGAACAAAAGAAGATATCAATTCCATTGGGAACATAAATCTCGGAATTGATAAGCAATAGAAGGACAAAAAAGTACTAGCAGGAAATTCTCAAGAGGTGTGTGTAAGCTGATAGACAAAACAATCATACCTCTCTCAAGTAACTTCCCTGTGTCTGGTAACACAGTTTTAACGCCTCTCTGAAGCTTCTTCATCACAAAAAAGTTTTTCTCCCACACACACGTGTGATCATCAAACACTCGCTGATTGATATCGCGAAAGCGAAACGCCTCTTATTAATAACTTCATTCCAACTCCTCCTCCTCTTACATAAGAAACACCGAAAAGTTTTCGGGACGAATCCAAAAGCTGTACAGAGTGAGGCACTGAAATCATCGCAAAAGTCAGTATTTATACATACGTCTAATGTACTTAATTTTCTTTAAGGGTCGTGACCGAGTCGGAGCTCCAAGTCCAACCCATCATCTTCGGCTCCGGCCCGTGGTCTCTTCCCTTTGTTGTCATCTACCACATGTGACGGGCCGACTTGTAAGCTCCGCCCCCACTGCCACTCCTCTCCATCATAAGTACTCTCTTCGGATGGATTGCTCCGCACATAGAAGTGATTATTATCATTGTAATTTCTTCCATGTGGATCGGGCCTCGAGCCCCACACCAACGCCGGCAAGTACATGGGGTTGTGGACAGCGGATGGTTCTGGCAACCCGTAATAGTATGGAGGATAAGTTGATGTAGGGAGGAACGATCTGAGGGGCGTGTAGCTCTCGTCGGGGCTTATGCTCAGGATCGGAGAGAAGCCTGAGTTGTTCGAAGGCCTTGACTTGTTGGCTCTATCTTTCCTGTGGATGTTCATGTGGCCTCCCAGGGCCTGAGCGGTGGTGAAGCCTCGCTTGCAGAAGACGCAGCCATAGGACCTCGCCGCGCTCCCCATCTCGTCGCTGGTGGGGTCTAACCGGTCCGTGTCGTCGCTGGAGCTTTTCGAGTCGTCGAAGTGGCTGAATTCCATGGTGGGGGTTGAGATGATAGATGATGCTGAGTTGGTGGGCTTGAGTTGAGATCAGGCTAAAAGAGCTTGCTTAGAAGGGTCTTGTAATGAGAAAAGAGACAAGTAAAAGACATGGGAGGATTGCTTGTGTGAAGGAAGTGAAGGGTTCTTGTGTGTCGTTTGATTTAAAGAAGAGAAGTCAGAGAGAGAGAGAGAGAGAGAGAGAGAGAGAGAGAGAGAGAGAGAGAGAGAGATGTGGTTAGCCGGCTATGGTTGATGCCTTTTTTTCCCTAGCGGACAGTTGTTTTATATATCTAATTATTATCATCAACTTTTTCAAGTCCAAAGTTTGTCTCTCCATGTATGCTGTTGTAGCTATCAACCAGGGTTTTTTCCTTAACGCGGTCTTCTTTTGTCCTCTCTCTCTCTCTCTCTCTCTCTCTCTCTCTCTCTCTCTCTCTCTCTCTCTCTCTCTCTCTCTCTCAATGTATCTGAAACTACACACACTTGTATATTATTTTTTTATTCTGAATATGTTCTGAAAGTTGAAAATGTTGGAAACGTATTCATATTGTGGTTTTTTGCATCTTCTACTATACTTTGCCGACTGCTCGTGAGAAGAGAAGTTCACTGTTCTTCAGCTAGGTTGAAAACAAATCCCTCTTCTTTCTGGGTACTGCATTCTTAACATGCAAACTCATTTAATAAGACTTTACTATATCATTTAGCCCCTCGGTTTCACTTGGACCATAAGCATCTTTAAATTATTCTAGAAGCATGTTCAGTTCTTATGAATCCATATATAATTTATGCTCTATTTATTTCGACTTGGTCATTTGTTGGATTCTGAAGACTTCATCTTTCTCCCCTCCATTTCATATCAACTTCCACCCAGCCTCTCCTTTTAGTTAAATATTGCCGGCCTAATTATATATATTATTGGCCTTAAACTAGATATTCAATGATTAGTATAAGGGATACCACAATTCTAAGACACTTGACCAGCCCTATTTTAATTTTGTGCTAATATAAGATTTTTGACCAGATACTCGAAGATGGGCTGGAAAATACTCATTTAATTTATCACTAGTAACTACTCCTAAACTTTTAGTATTCGAATTCTTATACTTGTAGCATTATCACACTATTAACAAGTGCATACAACCAAAAGAAAAAAGAAACAATGTATTTAACTATATGTAATTCTTTCTCTCTCTAAAGACTTTCCATTTCCTTATTGGACTTTTATTGGGTCTACTGATGATATAAATAATAACTTACGCACACCATCGGATTATTAACACGTAGAATTCAATTACACAATTGGGTGAATGATTAAATTCAAACACACATGTCATTCACCCGATTGTGAATGTGTAAGTGTTTTATTACACTGACATTGAATCTAATAGTAACCCTTACTGAAAAAAGGGATGCACCTAGACGTTTTTTAATAGTTCAAGTATTTAGATCCAAATATTGACGGACTCAAACTCAATATGGATAAAGATCCTTTATTACCTTAAGGTGTACCCTGTTGCTGCTCTAATGATCTCAACCTTTTGATGTATTTGGTCATAACTTTCCTTTTTAATAATTTAGGAACACGAGCGTGGAGGCTTAGGTATATGAAGGCCGGTGGAATACCTTTCAAGCCCATGAACTATTTGAGTTCAAACGGTTGACATGTGTAGGTAGCCCCGATTTGGAGAGTTTGCACACAATTAGTGGAATTCGAATAAGTGATCTCTAGTTATTGAATTGTTAATCCCTTGATGTCCTAATCAACTATGTCAATCCCAAAGGGTTTCAATCACAAATTTCTAAAGAAAACATAGCTATGTGAACGGACGGTCGAGATGATTGGAACACCGTATGAGGATCCGATAGAGGCAGACGATTCTCATCCCTTGGACATCTTAATTTCGATTCTTCCTACTTTTGTTCTCGCCTCTCTATATTTAACTTCAACCATATCAGATTAGTTAAATGGTTCATCCTTTCTTTATTCTATCAATATTTAAGCTCAATCTTAACTTACCTGTATGGAACGGACCGACATGAGTCTCCTCCAAGTCATCAAATGTGTTTTTAAAAAGAATCAATTTTCACCTAGGAGGGTCGTGGTTGTCTTTTCTGTCGGCTACGTTCGTATTGCAAGACAGGTCAAGTGAGATAAGTCCTATTTCCACATCTAACTCCAACCTCGAATTCCGGGTTAAAGTGCTTCATGCTTTCACTTCCCATCAATATTTACGTTATCAAGGAGAAAAGTAACTTTTTTTCCTTTTAACTTGGGTGGCTTATCGCCGTCTTTTCCAACGGCATGATCATGTTTGAAGTACGACCAAATTTAGTGACCTTAAGGCGCTAATAATGATCCCTAAGTGAAGCTACTGAAAGTGCTTTAAATCACATTCACCTGAATCAAACGAATAGAGATGATTGGAACACTATAGGAGGATAAAACAGGACAAGGGACGCCCTAATTCCCATCAACATAATGCTATCAACACTAGAGTTCTCAAGCTATTTGAACGATTCCTTCCATACGCGTAATGTTCCCACCTCTAGTTTCAATCATTGTATCGGGTTAAAACGCTTCCCGCTTCTCCTATCGATGTCTAGGGTGAATGGATATATGCTTAATCTTGATTAACCTAGATGTACCGATCTGGGTCTCCTCCGCGTTGACGTAGGTGGCTCATGGCAGCCTTCTCGATGGGCAAGTTCACACGGTCAAATATGGTAAGCCACAAGGCGTTGGTTTTCGGCTACCATTCGGAAGCTCTCATCCAAGAAGTGCTTTGTTTATGAAGTGTAAAACAACCCTAAATAGCTGGTCGTCTCATCATGATGATGACTTGAGGACTTGGTTGTGATGAAGAGCTCCAAATTGAAATTTAGCTGGAGAGCTTTCTTATCAAAGAAATGTATAAATTTTTTTTTTGATTTGAGGAAAAGGTGCAGGAACCTTCCTTGACGATACAAAACGAGGAGGAACAGTGTGTGTTTGGAGCTTGCAGTTGTCCTCACACACAAAGGCCCCTTTTGCATGATGCATGTGCATCTATCTCCAATCGACACACACACACATATGACGAGCGGCAAAAGTTATGAGGTCCTATTTGGTGATGAATTCATTGACATGATGTGCCGATAGCTCCCGCGCCCTTTGTTCCTGGTTTTAAATGTCCTTTTGCTCATAGTTGTACAAAATCCTTCCAAGCTTTCTTTTTTTTTTCTAAAGAAATTTCTTCCAAAAAATTGTACAACATTTAAATTTCAAATCACGCACCCTTTTAATAGCTTAAACTTTTTGAGTAATTGGCTATAGTCCTGCATAGCAAAATGTCCCAAATTCAAATTATTTCAAGCCCCTTTACCTCTCTTATTATATATTTCCACGGTTTAATCTTAGGCTAAAATTTAACCTAGTAATTGGCAGTGATCCCATGAAATTTACACTTACGAAGAGATTGTTAAAAACATTGGTGCATAGAAATGGACGAATGAAATATCTATCATATAAATGGTCTTTATATAGGTTTCTTTTTTCCTAAGAGAAACTCCTTGATGCTTAAATTAGTCGAAAATAATTAACAAGAGGGAGTATTTTAATGTTAAGAATGATATAGGGAGATTGCTGGCTTGATAAGTAGGTAGTCATTAGTCTTCAGGTCTTAGACCCCCATCAAGATCTAATTTCTCCTGTTTACACGACCAAATTTCAGGCTTTTTTTTACTTACGAGGCTCAACTATAGTCGGTAAATTTAACCCTTATTAGTTTCTATTGGAGAGAATAACACAAACGGTCTCTAAAATTGTTCTATGTCATCCTTAAACTTATAATTTATTCAGTGTGGTTTCTGAACTATTAGTAAATGCTAAATCTAGTTTCTAAAATATATGAAAATGTTTTATGCGAACTTTCCGTTAATTCAAGTTGGCGGAATCTTTTGATATAGCTTTTAATTCGTTAAGTTTAAAATGGTGTACTACAAAACGAAAAAGTTACACGTGGATTACCCAAATAAGATGTTCATTTCAAATTAGGATATTATAATCCATGTCATCAAATAATGATGGACATGTTAACACCTTAATCTCTTTTTTTTCTTTTTAAAGTAGATGGAAAAAATGATGGACATGTTGACTCATCATTTTTAGAAATCCAACTCAACATCTAATGATCAACCTCATCAAATAACATCTGATTTGTCTTTTGAGCAAACGGAGGACTATATTGAACATTTATTAATAGTTCAGGAATCAAACTGGACAAAGTAAAAGTCCAGGGTTGACATTGCACAATAAACTAAAGTTTAAGGACCATTTATGTTATTCTCACTTTCTATTAACCAGTTTTTACGTGCTTTTACAATTTTATGTAAGTAGAAGCACCTATTTCTCACATGTCATCGATTTATATTATGATCATATTTTCCTACTTCAAAAAGAAATTTCCTTTAATCAGTCTTCTAATCGGTAGCTTATAAACATGGACATCATCTATATTTATACTTAAGTCATATTTGCATATAGGTGATGTTCGTAACCATAACTTGCAGCCCTCTAAGTAGAAGCATGATTGGAGAAAAATATAGTCCGTTCCATTGTCTACGAAAAGAAAAATTCTTGCATCAGCAGCGTGTACGGGAAATAATTTTTGACTCTCCATGTTAATCACTCTTAAGTGGTTTAAGTGTCTACGTTATGATCATCTATCTTAATGTCAATCATTTTTTTATTAGGAAATAATTTTTAATGGTACAATACATTGATTATAATCACAATTATACTGAAAAAATAATACGTTTCTATTCTTGGGAATAATCACCATCAGTACTGTTTATGTAAAAAGAAAAACTTTTTGCATAGAAGATAGGGCTAATACCATGAAAATCCCCAAATTGATATACATGTGACAAATTTATCCCAAACTAATTTTTTAACCACAGAAAACCCCAAACTGGTACACTTGTTACAAATTTACCATGAACTAATTTTTTTACCACAAAAAATCCTAAATTACTACACATGTGACAAATTCACCCTCCGTTGAATTTAACCGTTAAATTGCAAAGTTGGATGACACGTGGAAGTTGACGGGTGTACCGGTTTGGAGTTTTACTCCTTTGTTTATCACATGTTTACCAATTTGTGATTTTTGGTGGTATTAATTTAATTTAACGGAGGGTAAATTTGTTACAAGTGTACCAATTTGGGGTTTTTCATGGTATTAACCCTAAAAGATATGATGAT